TCAAACTTTATTTTTCAAATAATTTATGTAAATACATCGCATTCACAAATAATTATCAGAGGATCAAGTTCATAAGATTTGATTATTTAACAAGGATTTATCCAACACAAACTATACAGAAACAATATTTATATGTACCTTTGCTCTTTCTCATCTCCATGTTTCTTTTTCTATTCTGAGCTTGGAATTAGTCTTCCAAGGAAAGACCTAACAACCCAGATGTATAAACACAGTAGAAGATTAATTTGGTATGAATCAGATTTTACTTGCATAAACAGTGGTAAAATTCAAACTCCCTGGTCATATACTGCTTCAATAAAACATATTTTAATGGCAAAATAAAAGAGTAAAGAGTGTGAATGTCCTTCATTCTCTCTCAGGCACAGAAGGTCTCTGCCAGTTTTTATTCCCTCATTTGTGAAAACCTACAGGCTGCAGAGAATTCACAGGGGTACAGTAAGTATTATCAGAGGCTTAGAGATCATGGTCTATGGGAAAACAAATGGGGGACGGAACAGAGAGTACAGTAAAGCCTGATGTTCTGGCCTTGGTCAGGTACAGACCATGATCTTAATTTCACCAACAGAGTCTGAATCTATGACTCCAGGGAGAATAGAAAGCCCTAATAGGGTGGTGGAAGATTTCCCTATTAACAGAGCATTTCTCTGGGATTTTGGCAGTCCAAAAATTCCTATAGGGAGTAAAAGAACAGAAGAATCAAATAACATTACTGTGTTGGAGGTTTCCAGGTCCAATCCTGCTCTGCCTGCAGTTGCTGGGCAAGGACTTGGGGTGATCCCTGCTGCAGCATCTGCTGCAGTAGTTCTTGTGTCAGCTGGGGCATTTGTATTGTAGCACATCACCATGCCACACTCCAGCTCCGGTTTCCCTGGACTGGACGTCATTCATAACCATGCTTAGAATGGCATTGGTTAAAAAAATGTCTCCCTTTACGACACCGGGGACATATGCCAGGAGCGTCCACTTTGGCCTCGTTCTGAGCAAAACAGTCCTTTTTCAGATGGCCAGGTTTTCCACAACCAAAGGATGTTTTTGGTTCTCCTGAGGGGCTTTTAAGGGCTTCAAAAGCTGCAGCCATTCCTGCAAACATGGTTTCAGACATATGCTCTAGTATACCAAGGCGATTACAAGCTTCTATCATTTCTACTAGAGATGGATTTGGATTAGCCAGTGATATAAGCAACTTTTTACAGTCCCCATTTGCATTCTCAACTGCAAGCTTTAAAAGCAAAATTTCTCAGGCTGGCTCATTTTCTACCTGCTGTTCCAGGGCTTGCTTCAGTCTGTCAGTAAACTGCATATACTACTCTTGTGCCTCTTGAACTATGTTTGTTAAAATTTTCTGAGGCATCTTTGCATCAGGGACCTTTAAAAATGCCTTTCTTGCAGCCTCTCTTAACCCCTCAAGGGCTTCTTTTGGGCATTCATGAGGCTCAGAAAGGGTCTATGTACAGTCCCTGCCCTGCAAGGTGATCCAGTGTTAAAGCAACTAAATTTCAATTCTTGTTTCCCATATAAGTCAAAAGAAGTGCCCACAAACCCTTTTTTCAATTTTGCTTCCCAAAAAGTATAAGGTGGAGAGGTCAATATCAACCCCACAAGGGATCTAAGGTTGTGGGGTGTCATTAAATGTGCAGAAAGAGTAGAGTTCAACAAACTCCCAAAATACGGGGACCCAATGCCATGCATGGTCCCTGTCTGCCATAACTCTTTTGCCTCTTGAAAAGACAGTGGCTCCCAACTAGGATTATGCTGCTTACTACCATGATATATGACAGGGGCTGTGATTTTATTGGCCATTTCCAAGTCTCCCTCAAGTAAGGCTTCCCTTCTTAAACAAACCCAGTTCTCGTGTGGATCTGGGAGAAACAGATCTGACTCATCATCAGAGTCTGTGGAACCAGGATCAAAAGGGTCTTCTTCATCCTCCCCACCTCTGTTCCCGGGACAGCAGCCAGCAGCAAAAGCTGTCACAGATCGCAGTGCCCAGTATCTTTCTTTTGCCTCCAGGGGGGAAGGAGGAGTGGATGTCTGTATGAAAGGATTTATAGCCCCCAGTGGGTCTGCTGATCGTAACAGATCATTACCCACAGCTTGAGACTGTTCTTGCTTTTCCATAGTCCCATAAATCACTCTCCAACTGGGAAGCATCCCAGCTGCTGCCTTATTCCCCATCGTGGAACGGTCCCATAATTTCAACCCCATATAGTCCCAAAAGTCTTTCATAAAGATAGTAAACAAAGTGACATTTTTCCCCTCAGCAGCTGCCTACTTCAGTACAAGTTTTAAGTCACAAGAGGGCAAGGACCTGCTTTATTTCTTAAGCAGCTCAAGCATCAGCATAAAGACATCTATCTCCAGGACTTCCCCTGACCCATGGTTTTTTTTCCCCAGCTCACCTCTTGGTCTTCCTGGTCCTCCCGGTCATCCAGAGGGATTATAATGGACCCAATCCCACTTCTTTCAGTGGCACTTCTAGTCCTGGGGGAGGTTGGTGGCTGCTGCACAGCTTAGGCAGATCTTCACATCCTTACATGGGAGCATCAACTGCCGCTTGATTGAGAGATGGTACTTCAAAGGAGGGATGCAAAAAGCAGCCTAAGTAAGAAGCTTTAGCAAAAAGAAATTAAAGCCTATGCAAAAAGAGGTCAGAGTTTCAGTTGAAGTTAGTGAAGTCTAAGCAAAAAAAGGAGTTGAAGTTGTTTATTGAAGTTACTGAAGTCATTGAAGTCATCTATTGATTTCAAAGTTTAGTTTATACACCGTTGCAGCCCTAAGCAGTGTCAGCCCTAAGGAGCGACAGCCGCAAGCAAAAATTTCTCACCAGTTATAGAATTAGGCTATTGTTTGTGTTACTTGGCAGCCTTACAAAACCACATAGTTTTAAAAACCTTGATATCTGCATATGCTGTACTTTTTTCAGCTCTTCCCTCCACATCCGTGGCTGCCTATCCCATGGTCTGTACCTGACCAAGGCCAGAACATCAAGCTCAACTGTGCTCTCTGATCCATTCCCCATTTGTTTTCCCATAATGGTCTATGTCTGAGTGAGCTCAGCTCTACTTGTCAAGACAGATACAGATTGTGGCCTAACTGCTAAAAATGTGGCACAGAGAGGAAACAAGTAACCCTTTTCTAAACACAATAGAAGACAAGTAAAGATGTCAGGCTGTAACAAGGGAGAGCCAAATTAACCATTTTAAAAGTAATGATAATCGCCTTCTGAAATAAAGTCCGGGAAAGTTGTGGGACTTCCATCTTCTTCCTTGTAGAATAGGCTGGACAAACATCTGCCAGGAATCGTTTAGACAGACCTTCTGCCCATGGAGATATATCATACATCTAAATGGCAACTTTATACTTTCAGCCATAAAAGAATAATTTTCAGTTTCTTAAGGCTGTTTTAAAAATTGTCCTACTCCAGATAACTGAGAAGGGTGAGACTTGCTGTGACAATCACCAGTTTGGATAAAAAAAAAGTGAAACAACTCAAGGAAAGAGTTCTCCTTGAGACTTCTTCACTCAGCCCTGTTTTAATAACCCTTGTCCACATCCTATCATGGTCATGGCAGTGAAAAATCCCCCAGGAGACAAACTGTGGAGCTCCTGAAACAGGTGCTGCTTATGCACAAGCACACAGTCAATCTATTAGAACAGATTTAATTGAAAACGAGCTTTATTGCCATCTTCCACTGATTTAATTGGAAATGTGAAAACAAACCTGGATGTTGGGCCAAGTTTTCATTTGCACTGATAGTTTTGGTATTGTTTTCTTCCTAAAAGGAAGTCTTAAGAAGTTGGTAAAGAGAATTTTCTGTCATTTAATATTGATAAAGTTAGGAAAATGGGTCATAATGCAAATAGGAATTGAGCATATTTAGTACATTGTCTAGATTTGAACTTTCACATAGTGCTTTTCTACTATTCTGGTGCTATAAGGAACTTCAGGTGAGTATTAATGAAGTGTAATTGCACTTTGCAACACTGCCCACACAGAGATCTTAAAGGAAGCCCAGCATAAATGAGAATCTGGGCAACTATAGCTAAACTCTGTTGGCTTAATTGTAATGTGGTCACTCAGAAACATTTTAATGTTTTGAAAAATGCGGAGGAATTTTAGTGAAAATAGGGTTTTAAACTATTCTTGGTAGTATGGTAGAAAAATTATTGAATGAAGAGTCCCTACACTGGAATTCTCTACATCCTGGGATTTGGAGCCCACTGGTGATGGTCTGTTTCTGACTCCTCTCCTGTCACCAAGGTCAGGCTGACAGGCCTGTAGCCCCTCATATTCTCCTTCTGATCCTTCTTGTCAATAGGTGTCATATTGGCTAACCTCCAGTCTGGGACATCCCTAGTGAGCCAGGTAAATGACAGAAAAGGGCTTGGAGAGCCCTTCCAGCATCTTCCTTAGTACGAAGCTTGGCATAGCAAGTCACTAACCATTTCCCCTTGGATTATGAGAGCTTCATTCTGCTTCCCAAACTGTTCTCCAGCTCAGGGGGCAAAGAAGACATTAAGCACCTGTCTTTTCCTCACCCTGGTTCACTATGTTTCCTCCAACATCCAGATGGAAATTCTCCATAATGTTGATAATGTTCTTATCCTGATGGGAACAAAAGGTAACTTACACACCAGCCTCCATGCAAACAAACAGTTCTTTACTTGAAATCTTAAAATTCAAATTTAGTTTGATTTTTTTCTTATGGAGGTACATAACCACCAACTCAGATGATTTCTGAATTGGACCTCAGGGAATAAAGCTAACAAAAGCAGAGCAGAACATTTATTGACTAACCCTGGAGCAAGTTTGTTCTGGGAAGCCAAAAGAAATACTTGTTGCCTTGAGAATCAGAGCTTTCGATATTGTTTTCATAATTTCTAGCCAACTGACACCAGCAGCAGCACAGAGGTGCACTTTGGTGCAAACTAACAATTTGGGCTAGGCAACGAGGGCAAGAAGGGGAAGGGGGAGGGAGTTAAGAAGACTCGTGTACTGTCATGGTGTCAGGCGTGACGTTGGCAGTCGTCTCGTTGCGGCCCTGGTAGCAGGACGGTTTGGCCTCTGTCTGGTTGTTGGTCTGGTGGCAGGTCGGTTCGGTGGACTCCGACAACGTCTCCGTTTCCAGGCTGCAGTGGATTGCTGTTTTTTTGGACCTGTGTGGGTCTCAGGAGACTTTGAAAGTTCTGAATCTGGTGCAGGGTTTGTAGGGCCTAAATAAGGTTTCACATTTTTCCCTGGGAGCCACTTAGGTCCTGATGGTGTGGACACACACGCATACCCTCTCCCCCAGGTAATCAGTGGGAAAGGTCCCGATGTCAGTTGTGATTCAGGATCCTTGATCAGCACTGGCGGCTTCTCTGTGAGTTTGGCATGAGTTGAATTAGAGAAGTGCCGTATTACAGGGGGGTCAGGCTCTGTAGGCGAGCAATTTAGAAAGTTCATGACATATAGAGCCTTACAGAGCCTCTCAATGGGGGGAATGATTTCTGTTCCTCCCCACTGGTGATCAAGGACTCTTTTTAGGTTTTGGTGGGTTCTCTCTACTATTGATTGCCCTGTAGGAGAATGAGGAATGCCCGTGGTGTGTTTCACCCCCCACTCATTGAAAAAGTCTCTTAATTTGTGAGAGGTGTAACCAGGTCCATTGTCTATTTTAATTTGTTCTGGGACTCCCAGGGTAGCAAAAGCAAGGAGAAAATGTCGGATGGTGTGCTTGGCATTTTCTCCTGCATGGGCTGAGGCAAACACTGCACCAGAGAAGGTGTCTACAGAGACATGTACATATTTGACTCTCCCGAAGGACGGGACATGAGTGACATTGGTTTGCCATATCTGGCAACTCTTCAGTCCTCGGGGGTAAACCCAGGAGTTAACAACAGGTATTTGGAACGACTGGCAATTGGGACAGGTGGCAACTATTGCTCTAGCTTGGTCTCTGGGTAGTCTGAACATTCTCATCAGTGCAGGCACGTTTTGGTGGAAGAACTGGTGGGACAATTTCACTTGTGTGAAAATGTCAGGGACATTGGCTGCCCCAGCAGGCATGGCTAAGGCGTCTGCCCTCCTGTTTCCTTCAGCAATGGCACCTGGGAGGTCTGTGTGCGCCCTCACATGCATGACATAGTAAGGTTGCTTTCTGTGGGAGATAAGATATACTAATTCAGAAAGCAATTTGTATAAATTTGGGTTAGAGACCTCTTTTAGAAATGCATGTTCTGCTCTCATAGCTATTCCAGCCACATAAGCCGAATCAGTCACCAGATTGAAAGGTTCTTGGAATTTCTCAAAAGCTCTGACAACGGCTGCTAACTCAGCAATCTGTGGTGATCCCTCGACCACTTGGACATCAGACTCCCATTTCTGTGTCCTGGGGTCTTTCCAAGTCATGACTGACTTGTGGGATTTCCCTGAGCCACCTGTGAAAACCGTCAGGGCCTGGAGCAGTGTTTTGCTCTGTAATGATTTGGGGACCAAATTAAATGTTGTTTTGAAAAGTCTGTGGCCAGGTGGGTGTATAGAAATTTGGCCTGAATAGCTATCGAGAGCAAACTGAAGGCTCTCATTGGTTTGGAGCAAAGGCTCCAAACTTCCAGTTGCCAATGGGAGGAAGATGCAGGTGAACTCACAGGCTGCAAGAGTACGGAGATGGACTCTAGCTCTTTTAATGAGTTCAGCCATGATTTCCTGCAGAGTGGTAATGGTCTTAGTGGGCTGATTATGTGTAAAGATCCACTCAATGATAAGGAGAGGATCCTTCAATGCAGTGTCCCATTGAAAAATGAGCGCGTGTAAGCGCGGGGCCTTACCCAGGATAACCAGCTGGAAGGGCAGGCTGGGCTCATACCGGTGGGCTTGTCGTGAAGACAGGGCCTCCTGGACCTTGGTGATGGATTCCCGGGCCTCTGGCGTGAGGGAGCGTGGTGAGTCGAGGGCCTCACTGCCACGGAGCAGGTTGAAGAGGGGCACAAGGACTTCTGTTGTTACCCCAAGCAGAGGGCGTATCCAGTTGATGGACCCGCAGAGCTGATGTAGGTCCCGCAGGGTCTTGGGGTCGTCTTTGATGGTCAGCTGCTGGGGCACGATTGTCTGCTCGCGGATCTGGAGTCCCAGGTAGGTCCAAGGGCAGGTGTGGTGGATCTTGTCCTCACAGATCTCAAATCCAGCATCCTCAATTGTCTGGATAGTTTTTTGTAAAATCCGGTGCAGACAGTCATCGTCGGCAGCACAAACCAGGATGTCATCCATGTAGTGGAGGATGACAGCATCTGGGAACAGGGTCCTCACAGGTGACAGGATGTGGGCCACGTACCATTGGCAGATGGTAGGAGAATTTTTCATCCCCTGAGGAAGGACCAGCCAATGGTATCTTTTTAAAGGTGCTTGTCTGTTTGGAGAGGGAACCGAGAATGCAAATCTGGGAGCGTCCCGAGGATGGAGTGGTATGTTGAAAAAACAGTCCTTGATGTCAATGACAGCCAGCTTCCAATCCCGAGGGAGCATTGAAGGGGAGGGCATGCCAGGCTGGAGGGGTCCCATGTCCTCAATGACATCGTTGATCTTCAGGAGGTCATGAAGGAGTCTCCACCTGTCCTTGCCTGGTTTGCGTAGGACAAAGACAGGGGAGTTCCAAGGGCTGTTGGACTCAGTGATGTGGCCCTTGGCAAGCTGCTCTTCCACAAGGGCTTCCAGTGCGCGCAGTTTGGTCTCAGATAGGGGCCACTGATCAACCCACACTGGATGGTGCTGTTTCCAGGTGAGTTGGGGGATGGTAGGCGTGGCGCGCTTCTCAGTGACCCCGACTAAAAATCCCTGCTGGGAATCCGCAGAGAAGCCCCCCATTGGGACAGGAGATCCCGTCCCCAGAGGGTGATTGGTGCTCTCACCACAAATGGCCTGATGGTTGCCATTTGTCCCTCAGGTCCTTCAATAACAATATTCCGTTTGCTCCTCATGGAAGCTGTCATTCCTCCAATTCCTGAAATCATGCCTGCTACAGGTTGTAATTCCCAATTGTCTGGCCACTCGGAGTGGGCGATGATGGTAACATCTGCTCCAGTGTCTATCATTCCTGGGCACTGAATCCTTTCCCCATAACAAAACAGGCTACAGTCCACGATAGGTTTGCAGGAGCCCACAACCTGTGTCCACATAGCACTGGGGTTGAGGGGAACATGATCTGGGCAGTCACTAGGAAGTAAAAAGGCCTGTGCCACAGGAGTCTGTTCCTTTAAATAATAAGGAGGGTCTATGCAGGTCAGAGAGATGGAAATTTCATCTCCAGGGTATATAGTTTGAACCTCAGGAACAGTATGAATTTGTCCTGGACAGTTGGTAGGATCCCCAAGTATTAAGATGTTGGAGGGACTGCCTGGTGGTCCACGTTTCCCTGTGGGGACTTTGTAAATACAGTCACCCTTCATATGTAAAGAGAGTCTAGTTACCAGTTGACGCCGGGTTCCCATCTGAAGCGCTCCACCTGCTGGGCTTAATATTGGGGTCCCCGTGGAGGCAGGATGGTGGGTTTGGCAGGAGGGGTGGAGCGGTGCGGCATTTGATTTGATGTTGAAGCGCGGGGCCGTTCCGCGCTCTGCTTGAAGTTTCCCGAATGCCAGTTCTGTCTGGGGAACCGTTGGGGGGCTGGAGGTTGTATAGAATGTCTCTCTGGACAGTCTTTGAAAAAATGCCCAGGCTCACCACAATTAAAACAACAATTTCTATTGGAGTCTGCAGCATAAGCTCCAGATATCGCCTCTGCCACTCCTTTAGCCACTGCAAGTGCCACAGTATTCTCACTTGAGGCAGAGGAGTGTTTGGTGCAAGCTTCAACCATCTGATCTATGGTTGGTTCTGGGTCCAGAGGGAGGGCTCGCAAAACTGCTTTGCACTCCGGATTAGCATTGGCCATTGCTATTTTTACTAATAATTCCTTTTGCGCCTGAGGGCTCTCTATCTGCTTTTCAATGGCCACTTTTAACTTATCAATATACTTAATAAAAGACTCAGTTGCCCCTTGCTTAATATTGGTGAAGCAATGTGTTGGCACTCTATCATCAGGGGTGGTAAAAAGAGATATCTTACCTGCATTAGCTATATCCTGTAAAGCTGCTTCAGGCAGGTCCCGGGCCTGATCTCGGGGCTTTTGGAAATCTCCTTCTCCTGCTAATTGCTCTAAAGTAAAATTAGGTCTGTTAGCATCTCTTGCATAAACATCTGATAACTGCTTTAAATGTTTCTTCCACTGCCTCTCCCACAACATGTATTCTGCTGGAGAGAGAAGGCAGTTCATAATATTCTTGATGTCATGCGGGACCATGACGTGGGCAGAGAAGGAGGCTTCCAGTATGTGTTTAAAAAAATGTGAACCCCTGCCATGTTCCTCAGCAGCTTTGCAAAGTTCCTGCAGTTCCCTATAATGAAGGGATTCCCATGCAGCAACCTGTGCCCCTGTCCTGTCTCTCCTCATTATTACAGGAAAGGCAAGTATTTTCTGGGACAGAGCTGAGTTCCCCGCCCGTGTGGCTTCCCTCTGCACCTCAGTCCAGTGGTCTTCATACTTTGAATGTGAATACGAAGATTCACTGCTCTCATCTCCTAGTGGAGATGGGGCGTGCTTTGTAGCAGCGCGGGGCCGGCTTGGGTGTCTAGAGCTGGCCCTTTTGTGGCCGGGTGGGGAAGCCGGGATAGCCCCGCTCCGGCCGGAGCCGTCCCAACCTCCGGGGCACTGTGTCCCTGGAGCGGGATCGCCGCTGGGGATGGGGCCCTCACGCAAAGGGACAGGAGCGGGGCCGCGATGGGGAGCGGTTTCCGGATGGATGGGCTGGGGCCCGACGCGGTTACACCCAACGACGCAGTGTGGGGGGAGGGGGAGCAGGACGCGGCAGGAAGAGAAGGGGTGAAGGCGGGAAAACCGGGGTGGGAGTGGGGCAAAATGGCGGGGCTGGCCACGCTGCCAGAGTCAGCTGTGCTAACGCTAGGAATTGGGGGGACACAACCGGGTGTGAGGGCATGGGAGAGAGGGTAGAGGAAAGACCCAGAGCGGCATGGCCACTGCTGCCCTGGTACGGGCAGAGAGACAGTAGGGGGGAGTCAGGGAGATGGCAGCAGCCCTGTGCCCAGGGGCAATGTCCACCTCCCGACTGACTCTCAGATAGGGAAAGGGGTTCGGGGACACCTGGAAGGGCTGACAGGGTTGGGGGGTTTAACTGGGGACCCAAAACTCCCTCTTCTTTTTTTCCCTCTGTTACCAATGAGAAAATAATATTTTGAAACACAGGAAAAAACTTTGCAACAGAAAAATCCCCTTTCGCTTGAACTGTATATAACTTTCTTCCCACATTATCCCAAAAGATTCCTGATTTAGCAGACTCCGAATTAATCTTAAAATGTTTAAAAACCCAATGAATAAATCTTTTAAAATCCCCTTTAGAAAACTTAAAATTTCCTGCTTTTAGGGTAGTTACAACTTGGATATAAAAGTCCCTCTCAGGTGGGGTCAGTCTCCTTACAGAGGACTGATTCCCCATCCTTTTTCACTCCCCACCCAGCAGTAAAACAGCAAAGAAAAAAAAAAGCCCGAAAAAAAAAAATCCTTTCACGGGATACACTTACAATTTCTCTTTGGCAGATGCCGGCGGGCAAAAAAAGTGCTGCTGGGTAGGTGGTCACCTGGGGGCCGGTCCTCAGGGGCTTTCCTTGCCCCAGAGGCTCAGACGAGGGTCCCGGCCACAGCCTCTTGGATCGCCTCTTGCTAGAACGCAAGGAAGCTTCCTCGAGGGGCGGCGGCTCCAACGGCGGCTCGCCTCGCAGCTAAAACTGCAGGCGGACGCTTCTTCAGGGCTCCTTCGAAGGCCCCACATTCGGGTCGCCAGTTGCCGTGGCGACGGAAAGCCCGGAGCACCGCGACTTCTCCGGAGGCAGCCTTGAGAAAGGCTGGCCCGAAGAGCATGTGAGCAGCTTCGAGCAGTCGAGTAATTCCAACTCAGCTCAGTAATAGTAGAGTGATTTCAGCTCAGCTCGGCTCGGCTCGGTGGTAGGCAGGCAACACAAGAAGGGACGAGAAAGCTAGTCCAGCGTTCCACCAAGCACAAGCCTTTATTCAGGCAGAGCTTCGGCAAAGGGTGCCAGCAACAGCGAATCTGCCGAACAGGGAAAAACCTGGGATATTTATGGGGAAGGAGAGGGGCGGGGGGAAGCCCGAGATACCTGTATTGGGGTGGGACAGCAGGGGGGAACACCAAAGAAACACAACAGTTTAACATATCTAACTCAAAGACCCCTGGAAGTGACACGTTGTGTCTCTCTCACAGAGAAGTATCTCTTCTCCAGGGGAGAGCCAGGATCTCGGGCCCAGCGGGCTCCTCCGTACCCACACCCAGATGCCATTTGTTCCTTTGAAAAATCTCTTCCTGCATCAATTACACTTACTCCATTTCAGAGCTGCAGCACACAGCCAAACTGGCATAAAATATCTTAAAGAAAATGAGCATCAGCCTGAGTGGGGAAAAGGAGAGCAAGTGGTGATCTACAGAGCTCACACAGTCAGAAAGCACCTAGCCAACTATGGTGCAGCCCGGGAAGCAGCAGGAGAAAGCAAGGGGCAGAAATGGAAGAAAGGTAATGAAGAGAAAGCTGAACCAGAAAGACATTTTAGCTGAGGATGAGTAGTGGATACCTAATGAGTGACAACGAGAAAGAGAAAAGAGATGCTGGAAGTAGGAAAAATGGATGAATCATTACAAATGGCTGTATTTTCTCTCCCTTGTCCAGCTGAGGAGGGGAGTAATAGAGAGGATTTGGTTGGTGCTTATTGTGCAGGCAGGGTCAATCCACTACTCCATGGAAGGGATTTGTCCCAGCTTCAGCCCACCAACACTCTACTTTGCACCTTGATACCAAAACCATTCCTTTCTTTTTCCTCTCTTTTCATTTATTCTAGTATCTTTCTTTGGTGTGTAGAAACTGCAGCACTGAAGACAGAGTAATTGGGTGTCTTTTGTTCCACGAAGAGTCTAACATGGCTTCCCATGGTGCCACAGTCACAGTGTTAAGTGCGAAGGCCCAGAGGGCTGATGCTTTAAAAAATAAAACTGTATGTAGAAAAGCAGAAAAGAAAACAGTGAGGGGTCAGAGGAAGATAAGGATGAAAAAGAAGAAGACTGGGAAGATAAGAACATAGAGGTGGAGGCTCATCAACAAATTTTCAATCTGATTTTTTCCCTGTACCTCCATGCATAGAGCATTTCAATCACATGCTCTTATTTGGCAATTCCAAAACCACTTTAGGTTTACTGAATTCTGAGAGAAAAAAAGATATTTTACATAGATGCCAGTTTTCTACAGAATTCTGTAGAAAATAAAAAATGGCATTTCCTCAAAATGCTGAGGTTGCAAGAAACAAATCAAAAAACAAAGGTTTATTGCACAAGAGGAGGAGCACACAAGGTGGATCTTTATAAGTAGAGGATTTATTTTATTTTATTTTATTTTATTTTATTTTATTTTATTTTATTTTATTTTATTTTATTTTATTTTATTTTATTTTATTTGGTTTGGTTTGGTTTTATTTTATTTTATTAAGGTTTTTCAAAAGGAAAAGACAAACATATCAGAGGAACTTTTACCTAGGAATCCATATGCAAAGTGCAGACCCCAAAGCAATATATTTTCCTTAATACTAATGTAAAACTACAAAAATTCAGATAATCAATCAAATTAAAACAACAAATCTCTCTGAACAAATGACTGAAAAAATAATTGTGTCATTTTTCTTTTTTGGTGATACTTTCTCTTTCAGTATCATGATGCCTTAATAGTATTTTACCACAATAACACGTCAGTGA